CACACACCTCCATGGCTGTAAGACATGAATCAAGTCTTCATGTCAGGTCTGGAATCAGTCATGTGAATCCCAACTGACGACTCCACACACCAGCAAGCGAGCCAGTCGACGTGGTCTAACAGGTTTGCTGATGTTAATGGACAACATTCAGGCTTGAAATAGACCGTCTGGTATTTACTGGTCTTTACATGCAACCATGTTTGCAAAGTGATCCAGTTTAATGCCTCCGTCACAACACGAACACGAGCAACAAACCTTCCTTTAAAGGTCCAGTGTGTAACATTTAGGAGCATCTATTGGCATAAATGGAATATGATTTTTTATAACTAGGTTTTAATTTGTGTATTACCACCTGAATATAGGAATCGTTGTGTTTGTTACATTCAAATGAATGTTAGGTCACTTTCCCTGGAGTCCGCCATGTTGGACAGCCAGGTTTCTACAGTAGCCCAGACAGAACAAACCACCAGTCTCTCCACCGTAGGTTCTCATTCATGCTTAGAAGGGGAGGGTGAAGCTAGAGAGATGCAATCTGCAATACACTGCTAGATGCCACTAAAGCCTTCACATTGGACCTTTTAAGAAAATAAAACTCTGTTTTCAATATTACATTGTAAACATGTTGCATTCAGTAATGAAGTCTTCTCTGCCTAACCTGAAGTCTTCCTGATATGCTTTATGGAATTATGAGCAGGGCCATCCACGATGTGAAGGCCACTGATTTGGGACTGAGTAAAGTGCGCTTCAAGGCTGAAGTTGACTTTGACGGCCGAGTGGTGACACGGTCTTATCTGGAAAAACAAGACATTGACCAAATCCTCAACGTAAGTCATTCATGTGCTTCTTTAAGTTCTGACTATTCTCTACGTTTTATTACTGTGATGTCTGGTAGGCAATGAAAAACAGAAACTAACCATTATCTGGGCAGTTTACAGTGTTATGTAGAATAAAAGATCTCTTCATTGCTCAGGCATGTCCTTGGTTTCCCTTCCCTAAACTGGCTGCTTTCAGGACACATTTGGAGAAAGCGTTTTTTTAGGCTTGAATGCTTTTTTACTCCATGTGAGCACCACACTTATGATTTTTATTTCAGCCTCTGCATCGTTTCTGTATTTTACAAAAGTATGTAAAGCAACTCTGCACTGATCTACAACACAGCCGTAGCCAGTCTTCGCAGATGATCATTGTTACCTTGCAGTGTTAGGATTTGAATCTGTTGCCTACGACTGAAGTACTTTCAGTGCCAGGTCAGAGTAATCGGACAAACTTTGAGCCTTATAACTCAAACAGAAATCATTTGTCTCTGCAAAAGCCTGTCTTACAAATGTGGATATTCTTTTGGTTTTGCTGTGTCTAACAGCATCGTGTATTGCCTCCCTGGACTCTGTCGCTGCCAAAGCTAAGTGTGCTCTTGTTTTGTCCCCGCAGGAAATTCAGCCAGGTGAGAGACCCCCCGGAGGAGCTGAGAACTTCATGCGTGAAACACGGAGAAAACATCATATACACCCTGGGGGCCGAGGTGGACCGCTTGGAGAAAGAACCAAGGTACTGAAATAGTTAAAACTTGTCCAAAAACGTTTCTGGCTGCACCATTGTACAACTACATTTTTGAACACAATTTCAGGCATGATTTTGTTTCTCAATCTTACAAGCATTGCAAGACTCGTGCGAACCCTGTTTTGTCTCCTGCCGTACAACGCAAGCCCGGAGGTTCGTCACGTAGACTTGGAGCATGCCTCTGTAATGCTCGGGTCTGTTCTGAGGGGAACTTCATGCTTGAAAACAAGATAGCAAACCAACCAGAGGAAACAGGTGACAAGGAGGGGCCATGCGCCTGCCTCCGCGGAATCGTGCCTCCCGATCCTGACCTGCCCAAAACAAACCTCCTTCTTGCACAAGTGCTTACTGTTAGAATAGTCCGGTCAACACCTTTATACAAGGGCAGTGTCTTGGGCAAGGATTGTGCTTTCTTTTTGTGTTGGGCTTTGGAGCGCTGTCATGACTAACGTCATACTGAGAAACTTGCAGAGCGCTGCCATAGATCCATCGTTCCACGCTGGTGTGTGTCGTGTGTGCTGTAGACCGCTGTGTGCGTGTGTGTGTGTGTGTGTGTGGTGTGTGCCGTGACGCTTTGGTTGTTTCTGGATAAGAGCATGCGGTCTCGCCTGTATAGATTAGTCTGCCTTGGGACATTAGAGAGAAATTTGAACTCGTCTGTTCGCGTACCACACACACACACACACACACACAGAGCTATGACAGTTCAGTCTTGTGGTTGTTTGCTTGAAGTCACATTCCTCCTTGAATGTGTTAGGATTGGGTTGAAATCATTAACAGGACCAGTATCATTTACTAGAGTTGTACTTTCATGTTATGCTTGAGCCATGGTGATAGTGTTTCCTTCATTAGTACAAAGGACACAAGAGAGCTACATATTCAAACGAGACTTACTCAACTGCTCGACAATATTAGATGTTTTTTGTTTTTGTTTTTTTACTTGAATGTAAAACCTGAGGAACCGAAGACATGGCTGCAGGTTCTCTATTGAAGACAGAACTTACAATGAATAGATTTTATTGCTATTACAGAAAATTATGCAAATTTAAAGACGCTAAGGCTTCTCATTTGATTTGTATGATAGAGTTGAAGAGTGAACTGATATAGAATACAGTAACACTTAATGAACCAGTTGAGCCCGTAGCTGTTGGACATGTTAATCTCTACACAAGCCAAGAAATGACATCATAGGCAGTGTCATCCCTCTTTCACTTCGTTTCTCTCTTTGCCAGCTCCAAATGTTGATGGTCTCCAAATTTGAGGTTTAGTATCTTGCGTCTTGTGAGTTTGGCAGCCGATCAACAGATTGTACTGTTCCAAAGACGAAGAACTGGATGGTTGCAAATATCTTTGCCCCCATTTTCCACTCCGTGTAAATAAGTCAGATGACAAAATGTACCCAAACAAATGGAACATGAGAGGTTTCATTAAGCGTTGAGCTTCACAACATAAAAACTATTGTTTCAGTCATTCAGGATGTCAACCCTGTACAGTATGTGTACCAAACTGTATGCTGAACAATCTCTATAAACATGCTGTGACTGTGCTTTTGTTTTTCATTCTACATTTCCTGTCACAGTCGCAGCACGGGACACACCTGCCTGCCTAAAAATCTGTTTCTGCTTCAGGAGGTGGGCCAGAGCCATTTCATCTTTGTTGGGGGAGGTGGATATATATTTTTGAAGGTGTTAATAGTGTAATATTTCCCTTTGGTTATAAATATGTTGCCACTGCTGAAGGAGTTGGAATAAATTTGAAATAATTTATTAAATTATTTTGCTTTCCTCTTCTGTCATGTGGTTGGATTTCTTTTATTTATTTGTACAGGGACGAGTACGTAGCAGAAACAAATACCACACAACATTTATAGCCTCAGGTAATGTGCAATTCTCACCCGGGATGGGCCTTTTTAGAATATAGCATCTAATTCACATTACTGCATCATCTTCTCAACACTTTGGGGGTCTTGTAAGAGCTCTGAGACCCTTAAAGGTTTTGGGAATACCTCCATTGAAGATCTTAACACATCTGGAACAGTAAAGAGCTACATTTCCGAGTCCTGATGTTTGATTTGGAGGCCTGTTTCATGTTTAAAGCTCACTGGAATGTAAACCTTAGTCCATTAGATGGTGCAGTTGCAGGGATGAGAGAGAGGGGGGGCACTAGCCTGCACGCTGACGTCAATAAAAACAGTCATTTCCAACCAGTCTGCGCATTGACCGACCATTCAAAACATTACGCACAGCATCGCGGCTGGACCACGCTAGACTACTCGACTGAAATAAAATGTTCGCCGAGCCCGGAGAGCGGAGACAGTGAGGAGAAGCGCCATTGCAGGTTTTTGACCATTCAATGTTGTCTTCACATTTTTTCGGGTGTAGCGCGCATATCAGTGTCATGTCTCGTCATACCATTCCCAAGTCAGTTGTGCCAGTGCCACTGCCCATCGTTGTCTCCTTTCATGTGTCCCCCTCCTCAGAGAAGGAAAGGGTCGCTTGTGCACGTTGATTGAGAAATAACACTAATACCGAGCAGGTCCTTTGGGTGATTCGGCTCATTCTTATGAAGGAAAACGCGCGTCGAGGCGCGCCTGCTGTCACCAAACACATCTTCAGTCATTCCGCAGCCTTCTGCACATCACATCCCGATCTCACTACCAGTCATTGTCTATTCGGTAACGCGTTTTTTTGTTATTGTTTTTTAAATGTAGCTGTTTTTGTTTTTATTTTTATTTATTTTTAAATCTCCAATATGTTCGTCTCCAGCAGCCCACAGATGGGGGCGCAGTAAACCTGCACAGTTTGGGGTCTCAGATTTTCATGCAACCTCCCCTCCATCACCACAAGCCTGCGGTTACAAAATCCCCAACCCCCCCCCCCCC